TCTTCAGCCGTATATATGTTAATCATCACGATATGGCATTTATAATTTTTATATATGTTAATCACCGTAGGTAAGTATTTTTTGGTGAACAGGAAAAGTTGAGACTGAGTCGGATTCGAACCGGCGACCTCTGGGTTACAAGCCCATCGCTCTACCAACTGAGCTATCAGCCCGATGGTATATTCGAACCCAACATATAAAAATTATAGATTATTAGATATTCAAAAAAGTGAGCGTGGGGATTAACGATTACATTCGCTTGAAAGTTTGCATGAAGTGCAACGAAGCATTCAGTTCGCTTTCGTCGTGAATAGATGAATTTTGATGGCAAAAGAGCATGGTATCTTCTTATAATATAAGAAAAAGCGGTTTCGAGAACCAGAAAGTGTTGAGCACAGCATTGTGCACAGTATTGTCGCTCGGCTGACAAGGTTGGGGATCCGAAAAACGATATATCAGATTGTGTGTGCGATAAGGCGCTATCTGGTGGAAAATGAAAGAGCCGAAGTGAATATATATTTTATAGACGGTAAACATTACTGGTAAGTTGCTGTATTATAGTGTTTAAAACGCTGTTTATTATGACAGTTGGTAAAAAAGTTGGTTTTCCTATATTTATGTAGTTTTCAAACGTTTAGGAAAAGTGTTAGCTATAAAGTTAGTTAGAATAAATTTCTAAATACAACTTACTGTATTTAGAAATAATTCTAAACATAGCAATTAAATAATATATTTGCATAATCTTTTGTTTACGTCTCAATTTCCCTATTGTTCAAAGCCCTTCCCACTTGAAGTAATTAAAGTCCTGGTCTAGACGGGGTATCCAGATAGATACACGTGATATAAATTAAACCATGTCATTGGCCGAAATGCTATGAATATCTAATGATGTATGAGAACTTAGTTATAAATGTACACATAATAACGAAATACTGTGCATACATAAATACCTTCACAAACACGTCCAGTCCCTACAAAACCTTCATTACATGTGCACACAGGGGTCCCAGTAATGTTGTTGCACACCGCATTTTCATCACATATGCTGTCATCTGTACAGTTAATGAACTCTACAAAAAATGAAACTTCAAGAATTTACGTATAAAAATTGCCTACTGCAGGCAAGCATATAAAACAATATAGCCTATAGTAACTATTCCGTGACCACCAGTATAACATAATACACATGATTAACTATTGAGGGCAACGTTATAGTATACATAGGCGGCGAGACTCAATGATGTATTTCTAAAAAAATATACAGATTTAATTTAAAGACGGGCAAAAGGGCAGGACTATACATGTATCTTGGAGTACTAGGCCTATGTGCGCCGTCTTGAGAAAGGACTCAACGTTTAGACCATTTTCCTTTTGGTATGTAGAATTTTATTGTTGAAGTAGGTTGACACACTGTATAAAATAAGCGGCATGCTACATTTCCCAAGATTAACATTTAGGTATACGGAGACACTACCGTCAAGTTCTGGCAACCGCCATTGTTAGGTTTTAAATGATTAATATTCGCTTCAACGTAATACAGTGTAAGCACAAGCATTGGGAGAAGTTTTTAATCATAGAAAAAAAATAACATAAAAAGAAACACAAAGGAAATTTGAGAATAATTTTTTTCCACATTTAGTTTTGCAGCTTGCTCAGAAGGTAAATATTTCCTATCTTTTCATGACTTGTTTCACTCAACCAAAAAGCAGGTTTATAGGAGTGCAACCAATAGATGACTTAATTAT